AATTAATGTCTTTAACGTATCCCATTCCACTGAATCAAATGCTTTAAATATATCTAATGATAGTATTCCGGTTTTAGAGTTAGTTTCTTTAGCTAAATGCATTACACTAAATATCCTTCTCATTAAATCTGACATTTGTCTTTCTTGTATAAATCCATTTTAGTCTTTTTCAATATAACTCCCCATATTTAATCTCTTTGCCATTATTGCCGTGAATATCTTAGCATCTTGATTTATCAGTGATATCGGTCTATATGCTTCCATATTTATTGGATTTTTATCTGGTTTCAATATTAAAACAATCAATGACTCTTTCCATGATTGTGGGATTTCTTCTCCCATTAATATCTTATTAAATAAAGCTTTTATCTTTGGTATAAGAATCTTTTAAAATACATTATAATATTCTGGGCCTAATCCATCTGTTCTGGGGGTCTTTCCTATCTTTAAGTTATTTATAATATCCTCTATTTCTTTATCAGTAATTAACTGTTCCATTTTATTTTTATCACCCTCTAACAGTTTTTTATTAAAATTGTTTTAAATATAATCTTCAATTTTCATTATAGAAGGATTTTTACTGGCATATAAAGTTTTATCAAATGTTGTGATTCTTTCATCTTGTAATTCTTTTTCCCATTTCTTGTAAATCTTGACTCATGTTTCCCACTTTTCTTACCCATCTTTTCCATTTTTTGCTCCATATTTTCCACTTTTTGACCCATATTGTTTGTTTCATTTCCACAAACCCATTTCAAGGTCACTATTCAAAGGAGAACATGGCTGGTTCCAGGTTGAAGAAGGTCCAGGGAAATGTAACATTTGGTAGCTCTTTCCTCTGGTCATGATAGGGTTACGTCATAGCAATAACAAGAACGACAACAAAAAAGAACAACGGATTGAAATAATCTAAGTGGCACCTCAAGTAGTGGGCCATTTTTTTACTAATGCATGGAAGTTGTTTTTTTAAAGAAATACACACAGAGAGAGACAAATCTGTCCTGCAAATGTGCAAAATCTCTCTGAGACTAATGAAAAATCATCAGCCATCCTGCAGTGAGGAAGCAAGATCACAAGGTTTCTTATTAACCACACAAGGACCTTCGCCGACATCATTCTAACTTTCCAAAGCTTTATTATATCTCTTCCTAGGCTCAGAGCACATGGAGGGAAGGGTTAAAGATCTCAGATACATAAATTTATAAAGTTATATTTACTTACTGGTAGTGCCCCATGAATCCCCAAGTCTGTGGATTTATAGACTCTTTGAATTTTGTTAAACATTAACTCAACTGTTCTACATCAAGCTGAGGATAAGCACACCCATCTTCATTTTCTTATTGCTTTGTCTTTCCTGAACAAGCAGGCATTTGGACAGAATTTAAGTAAGTTTGATAGATGTGTAATGCTTGGAAGAATTGCTGTATTGCTCAATGTTTTAGACACTGGGCTGCGGAGTCAGAGGTTGGGAGTTTGAAACCCTTGTGTGCCTTCTAGGGGCCAGACTCAATCAATAAGCTCCATTCCAGCTCTGCAGTTCTATTGTTGTTGTTTAGTCATTAAATCGTGTCCGACTCTTCGTGACCCCATGGACCAGAGCACGCCAGGCCCTCCTATCTTTCACTGCCTCACCGGAGTTGATTCAAATTCATGTTGGTCGCTTCAGTGACCCTGTCCAGCCATTAGCCTGCAAGAGAGAGAGCACGTGAGGGACAAGGGACAAACCAGCATGACATTTCTACAGCAAGAACAACAAAACCCCATCTTAGCATATGAGGCAAATTTTTAACTAATATGCTTATTCCTGTCAGTCTTTGCCATCTCCAACCCCACCCCACCCCTTCTCTCTGCTCTTTTTTGCTCTTAAAAAGCAAAGCGTGCTGCTTATATACCTCCCCCATAGCGCTTCAAGCACTCTCTGGGCGGTTTACAAGTTAATTATGCAGGCTACACATTCCCACCGCCCCCCAGCAAGCTGGGTACTCATTTTACCGACCTCGGAAGGATAGAAGGCTGAGTCAACCTTGAGCCGCTGCCTGGGATTGAACCCCAGGTCGTCAGCACAGTTATGGCTGCAGTACAGCAGTTTAACCACTGCGCCACGAGGCTCTTGTGTGGCTATCTGTTTTCTGTCTCCTGTGGGAATGTTTGCCATAAGACTCAACCCCAAACATAGGCCATAAATTACTGCACGTGAGATGTAACCACACACTCAAGGATCTTGAAGTTCATGAACATTTTGAATGTTTTACTTGCAAATTCAGTATTTCATTCTGTATTTCATTTTATTCCATAGTTCTGAAGACGTGAATGTGATCCATGAAAGCTCACATTAAAATATAATAGCCACATGTTTTTGTCTTGTCTTTTTGTTTTATTTTTTTTTTCCTTTGGATTTTGCCTGATATGCTTACACGGACTAACACAGCCACCTCTTCCAAACCTATCTTAGCAGTGGGTCTTATGGGAAAAATGAGTTTCATTTACAACAATTTGTTTTACAACCACCATGACGAAATCACTTCGTAATTTTGCACGCCTGTTGTACTCTGGAGCCATCTTTTGAATCTCTAAGAAAGCACTATATCCCGCCCATCTGGTCTGGACGACCACACAAGAGATTGAGGACAGGGTCTTATACACTAGTAATTTTTGCTCCAAAAATGCAATAGGGCTTATTTTCAGAGGATGTTTTATTTTTTCCATGTACATTTATTCATCTACATTTATTCAAATACAGTCATGCCATCTTCTGGTTGCTGCACAAGGGTGGAGGACGGTGTTTCACTTAACTAGGGCTTATATTTGGGCTAGGGCTTATATTACGAGCATCCTGGAAAATCCTACTAGGGCTTATTTTCAGGTTAGGTCTTATTTTTGGGAAAACAGGGCATTAGAAATGGCTTCTTTTCAATAACCCTGTTCAGAAGTTGACACAAGCAGGTTTCCCATCTTCAATTCCATTCATTTTCTTGCTTTTTAGCACCAGGCCTGTTCAGTCCCACTGATGCAGTTTTAAAAAGTTCCATTTCAAATGTTTCCTGACCTCAGTCCCTCCTTCTTGGGACTGGGCTACCAAAACCTGGGCATGCAAAAAGTTTCCTCACATTGAAACTGGCAAAAGAGAAGTGAATACAGCAACTGTACACCATTCCAGGAAAGAAATGGTTACTGAATGCCATAACCTCTTTCTCTAATGAAATCAGTTATAAGTAGATATTGTTACCTTGATAACATAAGCTACATAGAATTATAAATACAAGATGTGACATAAAGTTTCATTTGGGCTTTTCCTCTCCTACTAAGCTGATGGCATTTCTTATTTCTTAACAAATGATGCAGTGGTGAAACTATAGTCAAGCCTCTCTGCTCACAACCTGAGTTTGATCTCAATGGATTCAGGTAGCAGGCTCAAGGCTGGCTCAGCCTTCCATCCATCCAAGGTCAGTAAAATGTTTATCCAGTTTGCTTGGGTGGGGGACAAAGTGCTGTTTGCAAAATTATGTTGTAAACCACCCAGAGTTTAGTTTAGCACTATGGGGTGGTATATAAGTCAAAAAAACAACACTGCATTTCTCTCCTGTCTTTGCACAACTCAGTAGGACCAGAGGAAGTGGAGAATCAAGATGTAAATGATATGATATGATACAATGTGATATGAAATGAGATATGATATGAGATAGCAGCCCCCTCACTTACACCACCATTATAAAGTAAGTTAAAACCTATTTTCTCATTAGGGCCAAAACTGAAATAGGGGTTTAGTTCCTGAATAGTTTGTATGGTTTATCAATGAAGCATCTGCTGTCTTTTTATTTCTCCTTCATATTTCCTTTCTCTTGTGGGTTGTTAGTTACTCTCCTTCATCTTCTACTACCTTCTTTCCTCGGTCTTCACCTCCACTCTCCTCCCACTGTGCTTGGTGATGTAAATGTGTCATTTTTTGTGGTATTGTGTCATTTTTATGGTGCGGTGTAGCCCAGAACAATTATATTTGAAGAGATTCCCTCTTCATTAGAAATGCACTAGATTGACTGATTGACTGACTGACTGATTGATTGATTGATTGATTGATTTGATTTGATTTGATTTGATTTGATTTGATTTGATTTGATTTGATTTGATTTATATGCCACCCATACTACCCAAAGGTCTCTTTATGCCAGTTCTGTTAAGATGGTCCTTTCTATCATAGGTTCTGTGGGACTTGGTGGTTTTGACTCTACAACGATGCTTACCAAATTTGCCATGTCTATGTCTTTTTCTGGGACACAGAATCCCATGCTTTTCTTTGGCCACATTCTGTTAATCAGTCAGTGGTTGTGTATGATTGGATGATGATGGTAGCAGCTCTCAACACAGGCACTCTTCCAGCCTCCATCTTGATTTCTCCACAAAGCATTGTCAGGCAACACCAAATACAATGGAAGGCAAAGTGCTATCACAATGAGTTCACTATGCTGTAGGAAAAAGTAGGCACAAAATTTGAACCAGGAAGCGCCACCTGATCTGTAGTGTATGGGGAGAAATATTAAAGGAAACAGCACAGCATGAATTTAGAAAGGGAAGCGTATAATGGACACCAGCAATTCCCTGGGAGGTTGGGTCCTGGCGTTGACTCAAATGTACATGGTGCTGCAGTCAAAAGTGGGAACAACCAGTAATCAATTTCTATGGCACGTCAGGATTTGGTGGAACATAGTCTACGAAGAAACCATCAGATTGAGATGCAAAGAAAGATATCTCAGGAGTCCAGTTGGAAATTGTTCCATGAGAACAATGTGCTAAAGATCTTTCAAGAGCTTTGTTTTTATTTATTTATTTTTTAAAATCAGAAACTATCCAGAATACTTTCTCTTATTACATTAATTTAGAAGGAGATTGCTTGTACACAGATTGACTAGACACAGCCCATATGAGTTAGATCAACAGTTATTGGGCACGTCAGAAGAGAAGCAAACAGCCCACTGTGAATGGAATGTTTCCGTTTTGGAGGAGATGCTTGTAGGTTTAAGTAGCTTTACTGCACTCTGTCTTTGTCACCTTTTCAAGGAACAATCCTGGTATTCCAAAAATGCCTGGTTTATCAATGCAAGTGTGTTTGGTTCCACAACCTCGTCTAACGTAGGTCTCGTTCTTGCCACCTGCAGGATGAGAGAAAACAATGAGCTCCAGGTATCTGCTTGGGATCCAGAATCCAGCATGGAGGTCCCTCCACTCTTGGCATGGTGACCTTATTGAGGACCTCTAAAACTTTATTGAATGGCATTGCTTCCCTCTCTTTTTTTCATACTAAATGTTATCTTAAGATCTTCCAACAGACTTCCAACCGACAATATTGTGGCATACAGAGAGGAACAGGGTTGTAAGTCCTTGCTTCTCTTGATGCTGCAAGTGAGCATGAGGAAATGCATTAAAAAAAATGATGCTGCAAGTGAGCATGAGGAAATGCATAAAAAATCTGCTTACTTTTAGATAGGGAGAGTTAATTTTTGGTAATATCAGTTGGACAGTTTTCCAGTGGTATCCACTGGACAGCTTTTACATAGTTTGTGTATCTCTGGTAGCTTACATAAACTATATCCACTCATGTGTTCCTATGCAGATTAAGAAGAATGGAAGCAATGAATGGGTAGTTTGAGTCTTTTATAGAAACAATTAACCAGCCATTCTGCCCTTGTATGTGCACATGCACATGATTTGCATTTTAAATGGAAAGCACATTGGAGTTTACACAGGCTGATGCAGAAATACTGGTCAGTATCCTGTAGCCTGTCTCAGCTGCAGTAGACCCATTCACATTGAGCAGAGGTTCTCAAACTGGGGTGCCCAGATGTTTTTGGACTGCAATTCCCAGAAGCCTTCACGACTTCCTGTGCTGACCAAAATTTCTGGGAGTTGCAGTCCAAGAACACCTGGGGACTCAAGTTTGAGAACTACTAGAGTAGAGAATATCCAGGAAGCACTGAGATATCCCAGATTCCTACTCGCCAACACTTCTAAAACACCTTTGTACAGTGTAAGCACTGTTTGTTTGTTTGTTTATTTATTAGACTTCTACCCCGCCCATCTAGACCCAAAGGTCTACTCTTTATGTATTTGTTGACTTACTTGTTCAACAATTGATTCAATGCATATACTGTATAGGAGACAATAATAATAAGATACTGACCTTACTATCCAATAGTTTTGTAATCTCTCTCTGGGCCAAGAAAACAATGTTATGTTAGCTAACCACTCCTGGGGTCTAAAAAGCTGATGGACTCCAGGTGGTAGAATCATCACTGTTGAGTTCTGACTTGAGTCTTATTCATCAGGAGGATTTATCTCCAATTCTACCTAACCCTGGCTCCAGATGCCCACCCAGACAATGTTGTTAAAAAACAATGTTAAGTTATGTTAGCTAACCACTCCTGGGGTCTAAAAAGCTGATGGACTCCAGATGGTAGAATCGTCCAGTCATCACTGTTAAGTTCTGACTTGAGTCTTATCCATCAGGAGGATTTATCTCTAATTCTACCTAAACCTGGCTCCAGATGCCCACGCAGACAATGTTGTTAGAATCTGAAGTTAATGTCTCTACCAGATTCGGTATAGCCAGCAAGATAGAAACAGTTGATTTCTCGGCCATGGCAGTAAAGTTTGTCGTCAATGCTGCATGTGGAACTCTTGAATCGAGGGCACCACAGGCGGTTTTGCTTGCCTAGCACAGGCACTAAGAAAGGAAATAAAACACATCAGAGAGGTTTTTATGTACAGGTTCTTAGAAAGCTGATTCTAAAGCCTCTGAAAGAGACAGACCAAGTATGGGTGAGAAGAAAGTGACTCATTAAGTCTTGAATATCCTAGGCAAATATCAGTCCTACTCACATAGCTATGGTGGTCACAATTAGTGGTAGGACAGACATTTCTAATGGATTCAGTGGTTTTAAAGAAAGTAGCAAAGGCAACCTTCATGAGACTTTGCGTGAGAAGAAATATACCTCAGAATTCCCACATACGTGAGGCTTCCAGGCCATTTGGTGAAGCAACGCTCATGGAGCAAGGGCTACATTTTAAAATGAGAAGAGTGAAAAAATGTATATAGGGTGGGGAGGAATATACACAGAAGTGTTTTGGTCCTCAGAAGAACATTCTATAATTCGATAAAATATCAAAATTAATCAATTTATGGGAATGGGAAGGTGTTTAAAAACTTGCATAAATTTCAGTCAAGGAAGAAAACACTAAATCTGACAACCCAGTAGAAGGACAGAAAGAAATTAAGGGTGAAATTTGGTGAAATGTGAGAAAATCTAAACTGAGAAATTGTCACATCCCTCACAGCCACGTCGAATTAGCTGACACAAAAGTCATATCCAGGAGCTCGAAACTGGATAAAATGCTCACATGTAGAGAAGATGACAACCCAGTAGAAAGACGGAAAGGAAATTAAGGGTGAAAATTGGTGAAATGTGGAAAAATCTAAACTGAGAAATTGTCACATCCCTCACAGCTACGTCGAATTAGCTGACACAAAAGTCATATCTAGGAGCTTGAAACTGGATAAAATGCTCACATGCAGAGAAGAGTGTTCTAGATCAACCCCTTCATGATGACCTTTCCCTCCCTTTTACACATGGAAGGCAACTCATGTGAAAAAGGGAAACCTCTGTTATTCATGGGAGCTGTCCATGGAAATTATTCATGGGAGCTATCCATGGAAATTATTCATGGGAGCTGTCCATGAAAATCAGAAATGTGGCTTTCAACTGACACAGGGAACCCCTAGTGCAGTGTTCCCCAACCTTGGGCCTCCAGATGTTCTTGAACTACAACTCCCAGAAGCCTTCACCACCACCTCTGCTGGCCAGGATTTCTGGGAGTTGAAGTCCAAGAACATCTGGAGGCCCAAAGTTGGGGACCACTGGCCTAGTGGACAGTGGAGCAGTCTTTGTTCATGCTTGCTGTTCTCCACATTGAGAAGAGTGATGAAACCAGGGATGGAGGGAATGGAACTATAGTGCTTCTCTCCATAGATGAATGCTTGACTAGGGCAAAGGCTATTCAGGGAGCATTTCAATCAGAAAAGAAGCCACTATCAAGTAAGGAGTTTGAGGACCCCTCGATTCTGCCACAAGACAAGGCAAATGGAGAAGGTGACTGAGGGATCATCATGGGGAAGGTCAGTCTGGCAGTTGAGGAAGCTCAGAACATACATCTCAAACCTCCTTTGTTACAATGGTCCCAACAGCAGCATTCCGAGTTGCTTCGTATGCGCTTTTTCAGGTCCATGGTGATGGTCCAAGGCCCTGGAGGACAGTAGCTGAGCTTAGTGCATCCTTTGTAAGTGACCACTTTCCGCACCTTGTCTGGTTACAGAAGAAGGAGAAAGGCAGTGTAATAAAGTCGTTGGGCTGGGCCTTGGGTGCAACAGATTCTTAGCTCCACTTCCTTTCTTTCGCATCTGATCTACTTCACAGGATTTTCTTGAAGAGAAATCATGTGCAAGAACCAGATGTGCCAATTCATGTTCTTTGGAGGGAAGGCAGGTGTATATAAGCATCATTAACCAGCTAATTTATTAATTGAGCTTTCTCAGGGAGCTGAGTCACTATGGCATTCAGTCTCCATATTCTATTGCATTTCTAGCACACGAACCCTTGGAGAAATTAAGCTAATAGCTTATGATGGGCTCATGAGCAACATCTAAGGACCTTCATCCTCAAATACTCTCCCAAGGGCATACCCCTGACAACCCTGGAAGCCTCCTGAGCCGATTGCTAGTGCTGCTCTTTGCTGACACAGCCTGATCATCTGGCTTCTCTGAGCAAACAGGAAGCTACAGGAGCACAGAGAATAGAAAGGTCTTTGCTTATCAGCTTCGGAGTGGGATAGGACTATTTTAATCAATCAATAAACAGCAGGAAGAATAATATACAGTCATGCCCTGTTTTACGATTGCCCCGCATTACAACAAAACCGCATTACAACAATGTTTTTGCGATCACGATGATCAGTTCCCTGCTTTGGGAACCAATTCTTCACAAAACGACTATTTTAGAACAGCTGATCGGTGGTTTCAAAATGGCCGTCCAGTAAATAAAATGGCTCCCCGCTGTTTTCTGGGTCAGATTCCTCGCTGCACAGGCACCAAAAATGGCTGCCCTATGGAGGATCTTCGCTGGACAGTGAGTTTCCAGCCCATTGGAACACAGTGAAGGGGTTTCAATGCATTTCAATTGGCTTTTTATTTTCGCATTACGACGTTTTCGTTCTACAGCGATTTTGCTGGAACGAATTAATGTCGTAATGCGAGGCACCACTGTAAACTACTTTGACCCCTCTTCTTACACAATGAATCTATGCAGATAGGACACTATGGGTATGAATGCATATGAGAAATTCACATTTAATTGCTTTGAAGTTGTACCGGTGAACCCGGGTTTCCTTCAGGTCTGTTCATATTGAATGGCCACAAAGATAGGAGGACTTTTCTAAACAGCCTTGCTTGCACCTTTTTAGTGTAGCTCTCCTGTAGCCCTGCAGGAGACACAGTTACAGGAGAGCTGCCTTAATAAGCTGTAAACAAGTGGTGAATGGCAATGTCCTCCTCTTGTTTCCTTTTCTTCTTCTTCTTGGAGTCCCGGTTCCCTCGTGGAAGAGCCACTTACCTGCTCTGGTCTCTATTGTGAGAGTGAGGCAGGCATCTTCTTCAACACCTGTACAGTTCTGCAGGGGCCCAGAACAGAGGTCACTGGCACTTTTGCAGTGCTCACAAAGAAGACACGTTCCTAAGAGAGACAAGCAATGGATTGCCATTTTGTGGGTTTTAGCACATGGGACAAGCCCTTTTCTATGCATGGTTTCTGCAGTATAGAGGTTACTTTTAAATGATGATGTGCCATCAAGTCAATTCTGACTTATGACAACCCTTCCAAGGTTTTCTAGGTAGGGAGTACTCAGAAGGGGTTAACCAGTCCCTTCTTCTGGGAGCATCCTGGAACTGTGCAGTTTGTCCAAGGCCAGGCCGGGTCTTCTGTGAGACACAATGAGGAACTGAACTTCAACCTCTGGTTCCGCAGCCAGATATTTAACTCACTAAGCCAGCCAGCCAGCTTCCTTATAAATAGGGATGGGAAAATTCTCAGTCTTAGGGTGTGATCGCACAAGGAAATAAATAGCAATTTGCACCACTTGCGGGGCAGTTCAGTGTGATTCATTTCCTAGAAATCACATGACATCCAGGGAAAAGGTGCTCCAGCCTGACCCTGGTTCAGCTATAGGGTATCTACTTTGAAGGTTTCAGCTGGAGTACATTGCTGGACAGCTCAGTGGCTTCAGTAGAGAGAATGAAACCACGGAGTCCAGTTCAATTCCCCAGTGTCCCTCTTGACAACAGCTCTAGAGCTCTAAGATAAGGAGGAGGGGGAGGGGAAGGGGAGGAGATGAGGATTGCCCAGCAGATAAATGGCTTTAAGGAAGATTCCTCCAGTTAAAGCAAACTGTTCTGGTACAATGAGGTGTGAGCATTTGCAACCATCTGATCACACCTTGATTGATTGATTGGTTGGTTGGTTGGTTGGCTGGCTGGCTGGCTGGCTGATTGACTGATTAACCGTCTTATCTTCATTCCTACTTTTGCACTGGGGTGGGAGTCCTTGTTTTTTTGGGTGTATTTTCATATAGAATATTATGCAAATTTTAATATATGTTTTTCCAAACATGCACATTTATTTGAGCAATTTCCCTACTTTGTGCCTTGCCCCTGATTGATAAAAACATATGCATGCACTTCCCCCCCCTGCAACTGTGCTCTCTTTAGCACCTGTTAAAATGTGTACATTGTTTTGCCTATACTTTCTTTCTCCCAAATATCTTGTACATGAAGGAAAGCAAATTGGATGACTCCAGGGGGAAGGTGTTCTGCCTTGGGATAAAAAAAACTTTGAGTTTTATGCACTCTTGTCATAAAACACACCTGCCCCGCAAATGTGTGAATTCTTGACAGAGAATATGTCCCCCACATCCCTATATCAGAATCAAGTCCAGAGTTTAGAAAGCAACATTTGAGAACTAATTCATTTTCACTGCTCATTACAGTCTTTGAAAAACAATTTGTCACTACTGGGAATGTAGTGTGGTGGCATCTTGTTGGGAAAGTAACTTGACACAACTTTGTTGGGAAAGTAACTTGTCACAACTTTTTAGGTCTTTGTGTGTTTCATTGTAGTTATTTTTTATTGTTGTTTTGTCTTTTAAAAGAAAAGTTATGCTTGATAAGAGGATGGTTTTAAAAGTTGAAAATTTCTTCTCAAAATGTTTCTCAAAGTGGCTTGAAAATTCTCTTGAAAGGAAACCTTTGAAACTACATCTTATTTTTGTTTAAAAGTAAGCTCCCTGCCTCCCCAGCTAACTTGTTACAAGCAGCGATGTTCCCTGGAACACAGTATTTTGAAGCCCTAGACAATGCGCACAATGGAGAGAAAGGCTGTGATATTACAGCGCTGTGATTTTTAAAGCAGCCCACTCACCTGTAGCTAGCATGGCTGTAAAGAAGCAGAAGAGGATGATCAAGGAAGATTTCTTCATTGTGATGAAAATCTCCAAACACCAAGTCATAGGTGCATGGGTGTGCATGTGCATGATGAGTACATGCATGCGGTGCATGGGAAGAAGGCAAATCTCAATCCAGAATGAATTACAGCCTGGCAGGTGGAAAATGCCAGGTTGTAAATGAATTGCAACCTGGCAGCTAAGAAGCCTGTGCTAGCAGCAGTTCCTGGATGCATCCGGTTCCAGAGCATCAATTATATCTGTGCCTGTTTTGAACTTCAGAACTGTGATAACATCTCCTTCTGAAAGACAAAGGGGAAAGGGGTAGAGAAGAAGGTGACAATCATGCACAGGTAGTGTGCATGAGAGATTCTGTTTTTAGTCCTCAGGATCCCTACAGGATTCAGCTGATTTCAGAAGTTAAGCAGGATCAGAACAAGTTAGCGATGGGATGGAGTTCCAGCAGAGAATAATGCCAGCAGGCTTCAAGTAGGATTAAGACAGAATCCTGCTTGAAGCTCTGCAGAACGGCCAAGGTGGGCAGACAGCCTTGGAGTCGATGCACCAATGGACTGACAAAGTAAAGTGCAGTTTTATGTGTATTCTTGAAGGCTTTCACGGCTGGGATCTGATGGTTGTTGTGGGGTGTGTGTTTTTTGCTCCAATACTGAATAATATAGCCTGCAAAAACTCTAACCAGCCACAAGGACCAGGGATCATTGCACAAAAAAGACCAGTTAACGACACCCATCAATCACAGTGACATATAATCTCTCTCCCCCTTATCAAAACAAAAACACGCTGATCACCCTATCTCCTGAAAAGGACAAAAGCTGTTCTCTCAGCTGTAAATACTCAACTAGCCAACAAACAGCAACAGAGCATGGACAGAGTTCCTACTCCAGTCCTCTGAAGGTGCCGGCCACAGAGACTGGCGAAACGTCAGGATGAACAACCTTCAGAACACGGCCAAAGAGCCCGAAAAACCCACAACAACCATGCAGTTTTCTGTGTTCCTTTCTTCCAGGTAAGTCCAGGAAAATGTCTTCCTAAAACTCCAGGGTTGCTGTTTGGTGCTGGTGACCAAGTTTAGGAGCCTCTGGTCTGGGATCCAAACAAACTCAGCTGGGACCACCAGAAACTCCTCAGGCCAAGACATAGGTAAATTCTATCTTTCATCAGTTCCACTGTGATGTATTTACTTATTATTTCTCATACTCTTTCCCCAACTGCAGAAGTGATGGATCAAACTTGGTACCAACCGGGGAAGGAGAACAGCCGGCTGAAGCCCTCTTGATTTTCCTAACTGGATAAAGCTAAGCATCACACCCATGACCTCACCTTTGACTCAAGTTTTGCTTACCTTTGGATCTGTTCCACCAACTGCTGGAATTTGTCTCCCACCCTCGAAATTCAAGGAACAACAAGGTTTTTCAATTCAGAATGGCATATTACTTTGAGAATACAAACAGCCAAGTACAATATGCTGTGTGGAATATTTAGTTCCTGGGTATATCCGGCCACAGAGGCATCTATTACTGGTTGCATCATACACCTGTCTTGAGTTCACCAACCATGACGACATCCGTTTACCAACCATGAAACATCTCCTGTGGGGGTGAATGTGTACCTCAAACTTCTGCAACTGAAGCGAAAAACATAAGAGAAGACATTCGAGTGAAGCAGGGGGGGGGGGAAATAATAGTTCTTCCTGTATCTTTT